AATAATACCATCGCAATTTTTCTTTTCGTCCAGTTTTCTCGGCCTTGCCAAATAAATGAGCTAAATGAGGTACAGAATTTGAAAAGGCATTGTTAAGTTTATCACAGTCATATCCAATGCCGGGGCTTAAGTTGTGAGACTACCTGTTTATAGGTAACGCAAGAATAACCTGTTCAGAAATATAAGATGCAGGAGTATTGTTGGAATTTTCAATTTTGGAAGAGATATTAACCGAATATTGTAAAACGTTAGTAATCCTTTTTCTCCCTGCTCTAGCTTCGTGATTCTGGCTTAATGACCTTCTAAGCTGTCTTAATTCTGCATTTTCACGCTTAACTTTAGTATTCTTATTTCTAATCCCACAATTACACCTATGCATGTTCCACGAACCTCTATATCGATCTTATTTCGCTTTAATATTCAAAATTCCTACCTTTACCTTTAATAAATAAACCTATTGGAAATAAAGTGAGTTTATTTAAAAGTTTGCGATTATTTTGATTACTTAAATTTTAATTATTTAACATTTTTGCTAACTTTGCAGAAAATTTTTCTTAAACCTTTCAATATGAGATGCTCTTTTTGCGGAAGACCTGATGGATGTGATAATGTGGTTAATCTCAACAATTTCACTTTGAACTTGACAAATACTCTACAATTAACAAGAGAAATCTGTAGTGACAAAGATTGTTTGGATAAATTAGCTAGAATGTGTGATGAACTAGATTCTGATTATAATGCTAATATTTCTGTTATTAATAAAAACTTCTATAAGATAGAAATAGTAAAAAAAACACATAAAATATTGAAGGGTAAGGAAGAGAATGAATATGACTTAGAGGGTGTTTGATACAAAGTGTAGTAGCGTATAATTAAATTTATGTGGTTATTGTCATTCACATTTTTCGAGTTCTGAATATCGATGTTACTAACGAGGGATCCTGGGTAATCTTTTAGGATCTTCAGTTATCAACAATATAATTAGAACATATTTTAAAAACCAATATATTTTATATTGATCAATTACTTTTGATAAAAATTATGCAAGTGTCTTGAGGAGTTGCTGTCGAAGTGAATAGTTACTAGGATTTTCGGATGGAGTTATGGATGGAGGATTTTCTCTGTCAGCATCCAGAAGAGTAAAAATATAATCATCATTCTCTTTACTTAGTTCACTATTTTCTTGGTTCATGGTGGCAGATAGGTGAGTTTACTATCCCTTGTCATCTCGTCTCCATCTATATAACGATCTTCGTTTTGAAATTACGGAGATAGAATGTAGTTCATGATTTGCAATTCCGGATTAGCAATATTCGTAACGTGAAAATTCATTTCTTTATTAATAAAAATAAATTACAAAATCGGGTACAGACCCTTTCTATTACATCTAATCTAATCTGATGTTTCTGTGAGATTATTTGATGACCTATGCTTTTTTTAATACCCTCCTCCAACAACCAGATAACATGAGAAAGCACTTTCTTTACCTTGGCTTTCATATCAACATCATCATACACAACAATTACTGGTTTTGATAATTTGAACTTTGGTCTATCTTGTTCATCCAGCGAGCATCCCATAAAGTAGAATTTTTCGGCGTCGGTGACAATCCAAAAAACTTTTCCAACCGTTGGTTCCTCCTCCACCTCACTAGCCTTGCGCTTACAATTTGACAGAGACGACTCGAGCTGAAATGCACATTGGGCAACGCCTTTAACAAATCTTCTTTCTTAACTTCCGTGACTCCCACTGTTTTTGTTGTTCGGCGTAAGTCAGCTGCGAAATCGACAGGACCATGCCCATTCGGACCAGAAATATTCTTTTGAGGGCGGATCTCAAACATTCCCTTGAAGTTATTCGCTCCAGAAAGCAGGTATGAATAGACGTATATAGATTTTGTGGCATCTATCGATAGCAAATTGATTGGGGTAATGTCGAGGCGGGAATTTAATTCGATCATGAGATTTTCAAACGATTCATGCGATGGTTCAACACTACCACACAAAAAAACCGGGAACACAGCCAATGTTGGATCCACCGTTTCACCACTAAGACCATAAAGCTGGCAAACCGAGCCGAGGGTCCAATCTGAGAAAGCTTTTGAGGGAGTCTCTATGAACACGGTAAACTTGAGGTTATTCTTTGATACCAGCAACTGAAGCATTTCACAAAATGCTTGGAAATTTCGAGGTGAGTATTTCCCGCTGTCGCATACAACGTTAAACATGGCACCATCATTTTCAAGAGCCGGTGTTTGATACACAGCACGTATAGAATCTTTGAGAACTTAGAGGGTTGCTTATTCGATATTCGCTGTCCACTTGAATCCCTTCGTTCGTTTCGGGCTAACAACAACGTCGAACTCTGAGCTGGGTTAGTAAAAAGTCCGAAATTTTCCGAAGTGGGACTTTTGGTCCCAGGTTTGTCGATCACTTTTTCCAAGAAATTTTTGCTTCGCAGGCGTATACTGCCAAATACATATACGTACTATAGACAGACTTGTTAAGCGATTCCTCCAACGATGCGATGCGATCAAGTAATTCCTGTTCACGACTCGAAATGGTGGTTGACGCGGACGATTCTACTAAGACATGAATATGTTCCTCGGGAGGTGAGTCAGGAAAATATTTCGAGATCTTTTTCGTTGCTAAAAGTTCGGCATCGTCCTGGAGTGAGAGATTATTTAACCGATCATCGTGATCGCCAGGAATTTCCACCTTCCATAACCTGAGTTCGTCGGCAGGGATATCATTAAAACGCGGTGCCTTTTTTGTCTTGATAACGTCCTTAAGATCAACAAGCTCGTTTCCACGGGGAAAGCGTTCGCGAGTGTATTTCCTTTGAACTACTATACTGTATATACTGTATATGATCACTCATATAGTTGCTGTACAAACTAAAAATTTCCCGTATCGGTTATATTCAAGAATACTAGACATTGTTGATCACGTGTATATTCCAGATCTACCTATCAAAATCCAGCAACAAGATTTTTTTTTTTCGCGTAGTTGTCTACAAAACCTTGCTTAGATCCAGAATGGTCGTATATGGGATTTTTAGAAACACTAAAGCCTTATTGCGTCTCTGAAGTTCATTCGTTAGGCGACCAACGATCTATATGGAGGAAACGATATCTCACCTTTTTAAATAACGTTCTTATCCATGAAAATCACGACGATCTTAACAAAAGGCAGGCAACTTTTCTGATTCAACAGGTGTGTCAATTTTTTATTTTAGCTTTATCTCTGAACCGTCAAGGTGAGATCAGCGCGACTTGGAAGGGGTATCGTCCTCTTTAAAGCGTGGGGTATCGTTCCTCGACACTGTATTTCACGGTCTTTTCTGCTGTTGCACAGTTTAGAGAGGGTATCGCCCTTCTCTGAGTATGGGGTATCGTTCCTCATTGTAATAAATGCGGGGTATCGTTCCTCCAGAAAGATCATGGGAGTTTATTGAATGCATTTATCTTATCGTTTGATATTTGCTAACTGCTTTATATGCCTGAGTCTTTAGAAACGTCCACTTGAAGAAGAAAAAAACTTTTGGGATAGCGTCAAGATAGAAAAAGAGCTAATATTGAAGGAGGTGCGTACAAACTTTGAATATACCTCCTTGGAATTTCAATTAATTTGTTTTTTATTCTCACTTGCCAGCCTTCTTCTATGATATTTTCGATAAAAAATCACAAGTCGACGCATTGAGTGTGCTTGATGTTACCCGTAGTCAAAAAGTCTATGATTATGTTGTTAAGGTGAATTCACACTTGCAGAAACAAGATAATATGGAAAGAGGAGAAGCGGGTACATCATCTGAACAAAAGCGATCTTACGGGAAAGAATTACCTTCAACCCCACCAAATAAGGTCAGTATATAACTTAAAATTTAGCTAGTAAAAACATGTGCTGACCCTTCGACTACCTTTGAATGTATAGGTCAGAACATTCAATAGAATTTCTCCTAATGAGGGCCTATCAATGATAAGAGATTCGAGGATAATGGAAGTTTTTGATGAAAATGTCACGTCAGATCTGAAAGAGAAAGCCCAACGATCTGCCACACATTTTCTGCCGAAAAAACGTGCACGTAACACACAGCAAGAAGCTGAAAAAGATGTTACGGATGAAGATTTGGCGAATTCAGTGATCGATGCTTCCAGCACTTTCGGCCAAGTTGAATTTCCGTCATATTATAGTAAACTTAAATCCATACAATCAAGATGCTAAGAACTATCATGTTATCGATTTAGGGGATAAAGATACATTATATCAGGTTCATGACCTTTTAGATAATCGTTGTTTAAGAGGTTAGTGTTGGATGACGAGGATATGCACATAAGTGAAAAGACACGTAGATATATAGAGCTCTTTGATCATATTATGGAGGAAGAGAACGTGGAAGATATTTATGATGACGTAGTTGTGGACGAAGTAGCTCGCAGTGATCTTGTAGATGAAAATAATGAAGAGACGAAAAATATGGAAGGGGATGACGAAAAGTTTAACAAATCAATTGCTAAAATGGAGGAAATAGTGCATCAGCTGGATTGCTTACCCGAAAATATCACTACCTATCTAACACTTCTCCTATGTCGGCGCAATATTATGATCAATCTAAAATGCCTGATATGTTTATTGTTAAGAGCGTCTCTAGTCACCTTGATACTATTACAAAGATGAATGGTGCCATACATGGACAGCTCACGTATTAGCATATCTGTTTTTTGATACATTTTGTTTTATCGACTCATTACATTATTTTTCATGTGAACGAAGTATTTCTACAAAAATCGATGTTCAAGAAAATGGTTTTAAAGCTGATGGTGTATTAGAGTTTTTTGAGCGACCTATGCAAATTCCATTGTTTTTACTCGAGGTATCGGAAGGTCCCAATAATCCGGACCCTGATAAAATTAATGAAGATAGACAGAAGTTGATGAATGAGGGTGTTTTTGCCATCAATAAGTTTATGACAAGAACGGGACTGCCAACGTGGGAAGTATGTAGTACATTGAAGGTTTTCTTGGCTCAAGGATTTGGTAAGTTTTCAAAATGTTTTTGTGCTCACAAACATTTCTTTGTTTTAATATATAATACATATTACTTATTCTCAGGTGATAATGTTGAAATTGGCCAAATGATATTTATTGGATCTGGATTGTACTTGTTCTCACCATTTACGATTCCAGCTCTCGTCATCCCAACTTCTGCTGATAACTTAGAACATGTACTTCGACTTATTCGAACACTCTTATGTTTACGATATAATGTTCTTAAGGAGGTTAAGATGTTTGAAATGTTTGCAAAGGAAGGAAAGCGACATATCACGAAACCTAAAACTAAATATCCAACTGGAGTCACACCCGAACGGCCAAAAGCTGTGACATTTGCAGAATTTTTACCAACGATATCAAAAGGAGAAAGGAAGAGGGGTAGAGGTCATGGTAGGGGAGGAGGGCAGGATTCCACGGTTTGATTTTTTTAAAAAAAAATCGAATGAGCTTATTTTGTACGATCATATATTTCAATAGATCCTAAGATAATAGTCATGTGATTAAATTCGTTTATAGCATTGCTGTATAAATGCACTTTAACGATACAAGTGCACGTTATTTTTTTGTAATATTTAAAAAATAAAAAAATCCGAGTGCATTATTTTTGTAACGCCAATTATATGGTTAATTTAAATGTACTGTACATGTGTAATGATTATGAGCATTTAAAGTTTTATCTCTACTCTATAAGACCCAATTCCCGAAGATGCTCTGGAATAACTATATATGGGTTTTCATAATACCAAACATATCTTAAAACGATCCAGTTTTCTTTGCATAATTCTTTCTTGAGTTGATCCCGTGTCGGCTGTTTGATAAATTATGGGTTCTCCTTTATGAAAGAATTTGATATATTCTTTGTGTTGTTCCCTTTGCACTTCGATTCCCTGCCATATAATCGCACATCAACTAATTGACATAAATTATTAGTCATAATAGCTAAGATGTAAGCAAAAAAAAAAAAAATGGAAAAATCTATTGCGAAGCAGGCCGTTAGGCGATTCATTGAATCATGGCTCTTCGAGCCTTAATATACCATACTTACATTGTAATACCGAACAAGATTCATAAACTTTTCTTTACATTGATGTCCATTAAAGCTCGTATTATGTTCTTGATTAATTATGGTTGCGATACTATCCCAAAATCCGATTCGATTCCTTCCAAAATTCTGATATTCTTCATTTCTATTTCGATGAGGATACGTATTTGAGTATCAGTCCATTCAACCATTTTTATTGCAGAAAAACATGGTTGAAACAATGTTGAAGTGTGGTTGGAAAAGCAATAAAACATACAGTAGCGGAGCTAGTACCAAGCACATATATAACGGATAAATCTATAGACGTTCATTTACTTTTTTCTCGTAAAAATAGTATAATTAACCGAATGCGTATGCCTCGGATTTGCATATCTCGGATTGCCGGATCTTATTGGTTGGTATCTATCGTCAAAGTTGATAAATCTGGCACAAAGGTCAATAATTTTATTTCGGAGATAATATGATATGTCTATCTCCTTTTTGAATTCCTTTGCCACATCAACAAATTCTATTCGGTCGCCCTTGGTTAGATTTAACTTTTTACCAGATAAATCGAAATCTACATCAGTTTTGGGTATTACATAACTGAAACGCTCACCCGGTTCAGGAATCTTATCTTTATAAGCAGAGATTTTTTACCAAAAATAAATGACATGGGGGTGCCGCTCATGCGAGCAGAGATTTTTTACCAAAAATAAATGACATGGGGGGTGTTCTCCTTGCGTCACTCATGCGTCATCCCTACAGCACTTGTGCGTCAC